AAGCAGCTGGAGAAGCACTGGTGGAAACAGTGGGACTCAGCAAACCATACAGCGGCAGTGGTGGATGTCTGGTTTTGGTGTGGGGATCTATGGCGTAGACTGAAGACAAAAATATCAATCTGATCCACAGTTTTTAACTTGCTGCCATCTTTTGGTCAAATTTGTTCAACATTTAACCAAATAGATAAAGACACTCTCATAATCTTCAGCTATATTGTAATTTGCTCAGTATATATGATGGTTTTATATGGCAATAAACCCAAACACATCAGCATGTTTAACATGAAAAGCACCATTTAGTTCAAGAATAGCCTCAGGGGGCTGCTGTCCTTCGGTTTCGTTACATTAGCTTAATCTTGTTATCCTGTTGCAGGCCCCGAGCTCTGGCTAACGGTCCTCAGCTTCATTCTTCAGTGATACTGTTCATTCAAACAACTGAATAATGAGTGAAGCAAGCAAAATGAAACTCCACTCAGAGAGTTTCTAGGCTAATTCTGCAGTGGTCTTTGGTCATTTTCACTCTCTCCCACTGTCTCCTGGTATTATTTAGCTGCTTTCTGATTAGGAGCATGTTTTGGCCATGTGCCTGTGCCATAAAAATGGCTTCATGTGGGTTAAAATGGATATGGACACAAAACGAGCCGCAAGAAATGGAAACAAATGTGTGTTGTGTTTTTGTGACATGCTGCTAGTAACAAAGTGCCAGAAGATACCATTTAAAATGGGTTTGTTGCTAAATTAGATGTTATGCGTAAAAACAACATTTGTTTATTCCTTGAGTTTGGTCCCTTTTCCTGTTTGCTTAGGTCATTGTTTAAATGAGTTTGCAAATAAAAGACATTCCATTGAAAATGGTCAGAGGACCGACCAGTTTCTTTGCTGATTTTCATGTTTTTATAATGAGAAGCACTTAAAATCAGGTGAAATGAACCAATCTGGGACATGAAGATGTTGATGGAAGCTGATGGTCCTGGTCAGGCTTTAGGTCAGCCTAACAAAAGCTGCTGTATACCAGCAGTTTGGTTGCACCACTCTCCACGGGTCATCTGATCCTCTTTATTTGGGACTGTTCCCCTCTTCTTGTTTAGCTCAGAGCGAGTGTGCTGCCAGCTGTTAATCAGGTCTGATTAGAGACTGTTCACCTCAGTTTATATTTAGCTTGTCGATGACAGGCTGAGGGCTGTAAATGAATTTGATGCCTGTCTGATTGATTTGGAAATGCATAGTCAAGCCAACATGCAAGAGACAATTGCACTCTGACAGGGTTTAGCATGCAGTAATTACCATGTGCCTCCTGGCAGAGAACTAAAGACGCTTTTCACAGATCCCGGTGCACCTGGACAGTAAACCCAATGAGGCGTGCGGACCGAGACAGTTACTGCTCGACCGGTTCACCACAACACTGAACTGGAATCAAACAAAAAACTAACTTTATGTTTGGTCTGTCATCTGTGAAAGTGTCTCTTAGTGAAAGTAATGATCTCACGGCCATCCCCTCTTTGTACACCATAATCACCTTTTCTGTGTATCTGGATTGCCCTAAAGCCACTTTAAGGACAATCCCAAAGTCTATTACATAGCTAAATCCCCGTGTTTCTTCTGGCAGACGAAACACAGCAAAATCCACAAGTTTTTCATCTCTACTGTCCAAATGAAAATATTATTTAACAGTTAAATTATATTTAAGTTAACTAGCAGTTAAAAAGAAAACAGCTTTAAAATATAAAAGATCTCAAATTCAATCAAGCTAAATGTGATGACTTTAAAATAATTATAATAATATGAATTATAATTTAAAAACAATAATTTTAGAGGCTGAAAATGTGTTGGCAAATGCTTTTGATGAGACACAAATAGCACACAATACACCGATAGTTCTTTCAGCTGAAATACAGAAAAATAAAATACTGGCATACAATTTCGCTGCATATGTCAGGTGTTGGTTAAAATACACAAACATATGTCAGTTTTTAAAAAAAGTAATATTACATTTTTATCTCTAAATTATTCCCATAGAAGATAAAATGTTCCCCTGCCCCAAGGGAGCATTAGCTGGCTGAAATAGGTGCTCAAGTCTAATCTGGGATTAGAACTGAAGCTCCGTATATTGCCAAGGGATTTTTCTTTTAACCTTATGTGTGCAGGTGATGTATGAGTGGAGGCGGGGCTATGTGGCAGAGTGAGCATAATGATGCCTCTCTCTTTGATCACCCACATTATTGTTCATCAGGTGACAGGCTCCCTGTTCATTTCTTATTCACATATGAAAGTCATATCTGCTCCTCTCATTGGGGATACCTCAAGGCTCTGACCTTGGACCACTTCTGTTTTTCTGTATGCATTCACAGCTGTAATATTTGGCTAAACCTTCAGTAGCACCTCCTCCCTCAGCGATTGCTTCACTAATATTACTTTAAATTTCCTCCTTCTCCTAGGACCCTGTGATAATGTCACCATGGAGTCATCACATGCAGCCCATCTCCAGTAACATCTAATTATCTGTGATGAATCTTGTTATTATTTTATTGGAATTTTCAATCATCTCTAAGATCACCCAGTTGTTTTTTACATTTGACAAACATCGCAAAACGCAGTAAAACTACATTAGCATTCACTTTAATTCTCTGTCATCTAGATTCCTGTACCTGTATGCTACCTGAGCACATGAGTCCATTTTTGTCTGTGGTTCACACCACTGGTTGCATGTATGCCACAGATAGTTTAAAAGATAATTGTAGCTACTGTGATGTCACCTATTGATTAGTGAAGTTTACCAAGCCTCGATCTGAATGTTTTCACCTTCGCCATGTTCGTTCTTTGACATTTGAAATGTGATACTGAATGCAAATAACCTTACTATCCGACTCTTAAAACGACGAAGAAGTTACAAAACAGAAATAAGCCTTTTCCCCTGAGATGCATGCCTCCACCTACAATGATTCCTGTTTTATCGCAACATCGAAAAGTAACGTGATGGAATTTGTGAAGCACAAAAATGCTATAAGGAGGAGGTCTGGGTGGATGGGCTAAAAACAAAAGCGACTTTAAAGCAGGAGACCTCCCAGTTTCAGTCTATCAGTGTTTTTCTTTTCTTATCATGACCATCATGATCATTTGTTCATCAGTTTTGTGTGCGGCCGTTTGCCACGTGTTTGAGCTCAGTAAACTGCAAGGGCAAAACTTCAGCAGTGAATACACACTGATGACATATATGTCACACCAGAGCACTGCGTTTGCCGTGAGCAGTGATGGCAGCTGGAGGACGCACGGGACTCCTCCCCTCTCCTCTCATCTCAGACCTGCCCGCTCAGTGTGCGCCGACTTCGGGGAGCAGAACCTCAGGGGTCAATTATGGACGGCCGGTATCGGTATTTTTAGCGACTTTTTCACGGGTCAGAGCGTTTGGAAATATTTCTGTGGATTAAAAGAAGAAAGAAAGAAGTTATCTTTCTGTGTGGGAAGATGGGATTATATCGGAGGAATCGTATGAGAATTGCTGCCTCGCAAAAATCTGCGTGAAAAGGCGTCAGACAGGTGACTTTTTCCTTCTTCTATCTCCAATAATTTGACCTTTAGATCCAGTTTATATATTTAAAAAATGCATTAAATATTTCAATTGTGCATAGCATTTCAGGGCGTTATAATAGATATAGAGAATTCAAAGGGGATTTTTCCGTTAAATCTTGTCTTGTGTGTAACTTGTAACCCTCAAATAATCAACTTCAAAGGTTTATGTTTGGTTCTAATAAAGGTTTTGGTAAAAGATAAAGACATGTGCATCTTAAGGAATGGGATATTTTAATGAAAACAAACACGTGAGATTGTTTTGACCCTTGCAGAGCAATTCATTTTGCAGGGATAGAAAAAACAACCCATCAGTATGCGGCTTTAGTTTTGATTTAAATGAGTTCCTTCACCTCAGTCAGACTGTGTACATTTATGAGGGTACAGGCAGGTTAGTGTGGATTTTAGTGTGGAAGTTTCAAGCTATAAGTGATGTTTATATCCTTTATAGCCTTCCAGAACTTTGCAAGTGTTTGTATTTTTGTGTATTTTTTATGTTTCTATTTTTGTTTAGTTTATTTGCATTTGGTGTATTTTTATTAGTTAATTTATATTTAATTTCCTGATATATAACACTTTTCTGTGTGGTGGCTCCCAGTAGAAACCAAGGAAGCAAGACAATGCAGATTAAAACTCATCCCCTAAGACACATTATGTGATTTCTGACCCTCAGTGTCCACCACAGTGTCAGAATATGATGTAACTCACACTCACAGACGGCCTGCTGCTTTTACCTTTCGTCACCCTTGGAGCTCTCGGCTTCTTGGCGAATGTCAGTGTCAGTTAATTTAAGTGGGGACTGCTTAACCCCCTGGTATTAGCACTAATCTACATGAGTGCACGTGTTACAAACATTGCTGTTCCCCAGAGATCAGTGAGTCAGTATTGACCATCATCACCACTAAAAAATAAAAATAAACACAGAGAAACATGCATAACAACAAAATAATTTAAAGCAAAAGAGGATTTAATCTCACACCTGTTACCCTCTTTTTTTTTTTTTTTTTGGTTATAACTTTTTAAAGAGGTCATAAAAACATAAAAATAAGATTTTTTTCCTCTAATTCATTCTAAAACATCCTGGAGAGCTTCTACACACTCCTGCAGTTGTAGTCTACTTCTTGTTCAAATCTTTAACGTGCTGCACACCAAAGAACATTTGCAGCGCCCCTGTAAGCCATAGCTTAGTTATTTTAAAAGCAAGCTGATGGTTCACAGAGAGAGCGCACTGATCCTGTTTAGTGTTTAAGGTCATTATCGGGATGTATTTTTAGGTGCCACTCTCAGACAGACAGTGAAGAGTGGCGTTCGGTAAACACATTAACACACGAGTCTCTGTTTTGCTGATCTTTGATTTCAGGCCCGTATGACCCCATCACATTTCACTGATTTTTCTGTGTCCCAGTGTCCAGGCCCGCAGAGCCAGGCAGGAGAAGATGGCGAAAGTGTGCAGTGAAAACTCCTTTTCAGTGAGAAGGCGGCTGTCCGCCAATGACGATGAGCTCGGTGTTATTGAAAATGGGGAGAGCAGGTCTGATGTTAGCATTGCTGGTGATTTTTGGGAGACTTTTGGATCCTTAACTGACTGAAATGAGACATCTTGACTTGTTTTATGAGGTCTTGTCAATATAATCATTCCCCTCCTGCTGTCTTCCAGAGTTCACTCTCTTTGTGGGGACAACTGTGACAGAGCACTGCGCTCAGAGTCCCACAGAGACTCATTTACAGGTGCCGGGGCAATGGCCAGGTAAATGCCAGCTGCAGTGCTTAAATTAGCCGGTATTTACCAAAGGTGGAAAGAAACGATTCTGAAGTTTCTCCTAAGCTATTCTGAAATGCAATATGCTGCTGATGAGCAAACCAATGGTTATCAGGTGGTTATAAGTTAGAAGTACTGCCTCAAACATACACATGCACCAGTCAGTCTGTCTTTTCGTTTATAGGCACATCTGCCCACACAAATGAATAGCTTCCAATTATTGCCGTCTCCAATTCGGTATCTGACCAAATGTCAACATTTTCTCTTCTGCTCCCGCGTTATGACTTTGAAATTAGCCAGAAATTAAAAAACATAAATAACTAAAAAAATTAATAAAAATTTAATGTTAATGCAAAGTTGATATATTTTGGATATAATGACTTCACCAAGTTAAAGACATTAGTGTAAAGGGTTATTCCAAGAAAGACTTCTCAAATGACGCTCCTCAGAAACAGCTGATTTTGGTTTGTACAATAACTTATATTTACTGACAAGATTATATTAGAATAATTAAAAACAAAACTGGCACTGAAACATATGAAAACTAAACATTTTCATCCAAAAGAAATATGACAAGACCAAACTTCATTCATCGTCTGACACTGAAAGAGCATGAACCACAGTTTGAAAAGTCTGAAGTGCTTGAGGCGAAGGAAACTGAGTTCTTTCCAATTCACCTCTCAGTCTGAGGGGCTTCTTCAGACGTTGCTCCACTCTACCATCATGTGAGTTGTTAGAGTCGCACAGGTGAAGGTGTGAATGGTGGTTTGATCACCTGTAAGGGGACCTCAGGACTAAGTTTGAAGTAGCTGATAGTTGGTGTTATAGACCACCACCTCTGGCCAGCTATGGCAGCTGGATGTAGGTGGCCTCCTTTACTCCTCTCTCAAGCCAGCTGTCTTCTCTGTGACGTCTGATGTGTTGGCTTCCCCTCTAAGGTGAAGTACCCAGGACTCCCAGTCAGTTTTGAGTACTGGAGAGGATGAAAGATCTTCAGGAACTAAAAAGAACTCTGGCTGCCTTTTACTCAAGCACTCTAGACAACCATGACCTGGATGAGTGAGAACCCCTGACAGACAAACCAAGTGTCTAATGGTAGATGCTTGATTTTACAGATAGCCTCCAAGTAAAGGATCTGAATGTTTCTTCCACTGTGGGTATTTACCTTTGACATGACTGTTGATGGTTTCTAGCCTAGACTGGTGTCACTTTGTGCTGTTTTTACCTCCCGCTGACTCTCTAGACTGTCTTACTTCTTCTTCATGCTGCGGAATTGGGCGTCTCACAGAGTGAAGCCTGAACAAGAGAGACACGACTCGTTCCTCGACCGCTTCAGAGGCCCAGAGCTCAAAGACACGTCCAGTCTACACAGCAGTGCTCAGTCTGCGGGGCATCACGACGCAGTCCGTAAGAGAAAGTAAGCGTGGTGTGGTGAGAGCTGCTGTGGTCAGTTTAAGAATTTTCTCGAGCCACAGCAGTTATGGTTTCTAATGTTTGAATGATTTAACACAAAACTGGACAAACAGGACACTTTACTCAGGGCCCTGGTTCCAAAAAAGTGAAAGTGTGAGGAATATAGAAATGATGATGCAGTGAATTTGAAACAAATTAAGACACCATGGTGTTTACCACTGTGAGATGTCTGCCCAGTCTTGCTTAATAGGATTTTTTTGTTTCATACTGTGGCTAATGTTTAGTCGTTTAGCACACAGAGGAGAGCTTGGAGAGCCATGTTGCTGTAATAACGTCCACATTGTGGTTCAGGATTCCTGTAGAAATGTGCACAACTTTACCTGAAAACTGAAAGCATGTTGCTCGACCCACTGCCTATCAAGGTTGAGCCCGTGGTCTTGGAACGTCCAAAAAAGAATTTAAAATTTGTATTGATTAGATCACTGAACAGTTTTATAGGCCCAAAGAAGGCCAGAGTTTCTAAATGGATGTTCTTTTTTCTTTATAGAAAAAAAATCATTTTTTGTACTTGGCACGAAAACAGAAATTTGTTTATTGAAAGATGTTCTTTCAGATGTGTTCCTAGGCCCAAGCACGCATCTCATTTCAAACTATTTACAGTATAATTTAGCTTTTATTATTTTATGAACGGATAAAACAGCGCTTTAATATCTTAAACAAGAAAGTTAATGTCACAGCCAACAGTGGGGGAGCTAATAGCCAAAAGCTAGCTCACCATTCCCTTTTACCCCATTCAAAGATCAGGGTGAATATAGATCATAAACAAAACCCTCCCAACCAATAGGAATGTGTGTAACCTAAAAGAAAAGAGGGGTTTTGCCATAAAAATATCACATTTATATGATGAATGAGAAGCCTTGTGCAAAAAGAAAGTAAAAAGAAAAAAAATTGTCTTTCTTCCCAAAAGCCTTGCCAGTAAGTGGCCGCTGGCTGCTTACAACATGAATAACTGCAACAACACAGACGAGTAAGTGTGTGTCAGAAAATAGAAAAGAGTTTCCTTTAGAAGTGGACATTATCGATATTTGTTGTAGCTACAACGCCACGTAGCATAGCTATGTTAGCACCAAACTCCTTGAACCATGTCTTCACATCCTCCGCTTCTCTATGCTGTGCCTCCCACCCCTTTACCCACCTCAGGGGTTTTGTTGGAAGTCATGATGTGGATTATTCTGATCCAACTTTGGGGAAGTTCAGATAAGGAATTGTAAGGTCATAAAGTGTGCTTAAAATAACAGGGACTACCTGCAGTATGATGCCATCTGCTGGACAAACGTATGACCTGCACCATGAATCCAAATGAATTGTCTCTGTAGACTCCTTTCAAGGTAGCTTTCTAGTCTTCTAGCAGTCCTTCATAGACCACCTCCGTCCTTTTTCACCACTATAAAAACACTAAACTTGTAATCCGTAGCAAAAAAGAGGACAAAAAAGAGGAGATTAAAAAAGATGAGAAAAAGGAGGAGAAAAAAGATGAAGAGAAGAAGGATGGGGACAAGAAGGACGAGGAAAAGAAAGATGAGAAAAAAGATGAGAAGAAGGATGAGAAAAAAGACGAGAAGAAGGATGAGAAAAAAGACGAGAAGAAAGATGATAAGAAAGATGATAAAAAGAAAGAAGAGCCACCGTAAGTACCCGTTAAATTCAGAGTCTGCGGCAGCTGGTAAATTTAACTACAGAAACCACATCTGTCACTTTCATCTCTGTGCAACATTAAACACGTTCTGATGCTTTGCTGGTTTCAGGAAAGAAATCTGGATTATGGATCCTGCTACAGATCAGTACTACAGGTGGCTCTCCGTCATTGCAGGCCCCGTGTTTTATAACCTAATGATGATCATAACGAGGTAGGCATATGTATAGCCTTCACATATTAATAATTATTCACTTAAAGGAGCATTGACTTATTTGTTCTCCTTGTATTTTAGGGCCTGCTTTAATGAACTCCAGGAGTCGTATATACATTTATGGCTAGTCCTGGACTACACCACAGACCTCATCTACTTTGCAGACACATTTGTCAGATCAAGAACAGGTCAGAATCCTGACGGCATTTACAGAGATTATGTTTTTGTACACCAATTAGGCTGTACTGTAGCACAAGATCTGGCTTCTAATTTGGTGTTTGTCCCTCAGGTTACCTGGAACAAGGCCTGCTGGTAAAAGATTCCAAAAAACTGAGAGATAAATACAGAACAACTTCTCAATTCAAATACGACATGATTGCAATGATACCCACTGATCTGCTGTTTCTGAAATATGGAATCAACAACCCGGAATTCAGATTAAACCGCCTTTGCAAACTGCCAAGGCTTTTTGAGTTTTTCGAGAGGACTGAAACCAGAACCAGCTTTCCAAACATGTTCCGTATCAGCAATCTTGTGCTTTACATTCTTACTATCATTCATTGGAACGCTTGTCTATTCTTTGCCATTTCAAAATCCATCGGATTTGGGTCGGACACTTGGGTTTACCCCAATATCAGCCACCCAGAGCATGGCCGCTTGGCAAGAAAGTACATCTACTCCCTATACTGGTCCACGCTGACCCTCACCACCATTGGAGAGACCCCCGCACCTGTCAGGGATGTTGAATACCTCTTTGTTATTGCCGACTTCCTCACTGGTGTGCTGATTTTTGCCAGTATTGTCGGTAACGTTGGCGCTATGATCTCCAACATGAACGCCTCTCGCGCTGAGTTTCAGGCGAAGATTGACTCCATAAAGCAGTACATGCAGTTTCGAAAGGTCACCAAAGAACTGGAGGCCAGGGTCATCAAGTGGTTTGACTACCTGTGGACTGAGAAGAAAACCTGTGATGAAAAGGAAGTTTTAAAAACTCTCCCGGACAAGCTAAAGGCTGAGATTGCCATCAATGTCCATTTGGATACGCTGAAGAAAGTGCGGATTTTTCAGGACTGCGAAGCCGGTTTGTTGATTGAACTGGTGCTCAAGCTGCAGCCACAAGTGTTTAGCCCTGGAGATTACATCTGTAAGAAAGGGGATATTGGCAGGGAGATGTACATCATCAAGGAAGGGAAGCTAGCGGTGGTGGCTGACGATGGAGTGACTCAGTTTGTAGTGCTGAGTGATGGCGCGTACTTTGGTGAAATCAGCATCTTGGGTATCAAGGGCAGTAAAGCGGGCAACAGAAGAACGGCCAACATCAGAAGCGTGGGTTACTCTGACCTCTTTGCCCTTTCCAAGGACGACTTGATGGAAGCCCTCACTGAGTATCCAGATGCCAAGAAGGCTCTAGAAGAGAAGGGGAAAGCCATCCTGATGAAGGACAACCTGATCGACGAGGCGGTCGCCAATGCCGGCGCCGACCCCAAGGACATAGAGGAGAAGATCGTTAAACTGCAGAGCAATCTGGACACTATGCAGACCAAGTTCGCCCAGCTGATGGCGGAGTTCACGTTCAACTCGACAAGAATGAAGCAAAGAGTGTCAGCGATGGAGGACAAAGTGAAATCCATAAAACCAGAGGATCTGTCTGAGGTGGTGGCCGACAAAGACAAAAAGGTCCAGTAACGCAAGAGACACTCGAGAACTTTACAGCACACGAGGGAGTGTCACTTTTTAAAGGCCCACATTCATATCCATTTATACAGCACGTTTATTATCAGTATAATGTGTCAAACTGTGTACAGCAAATGTATATTTCTGTGTGTATGCTACGACTGACAGCCAATTTCATATTTTTCATATATAAAACTACTAAGCGTGTTGGGAAAAAAAAAGATTTTCATAATAGTAGAACAATTTTTGTCCCAGAAAATCTTTTTCTTCCATATTGATCTATTTGTGAAGTAAAAATGCAGCTGACACATCCATTTTACACTGCTTAAAAATGTACAAAGTGAAATGTCAGTGCTGTTGATAAGTTATCGGCTATCGGCTGTAAATCTAATATGTGAATAAACATTAAAGTGTTCATATAACATTCACTTTATACTGGTACATTGTCATGTTGTGGGTGAATGAACATGGGGAACTCACAGTTTTTTTAATCTGTTGTAACTGAGGATCATTAAAGTGTTGCTGCTGACTTTAAAACCCCTGAAAACCCTTTGAAAACTTCCTGGTCCACAGAAAACTGTGAAATACCTCTTCTTCTTTCTTTTTTTCAGCCAAGCTATGTGATTAAAGGCACATAAATGTCATGCTTTTCCTGTTCTAAAGTTTTGTCAGTAGCACAAATTTTGTGTTTTGGAAACTTTTTTTTTTTTTTTTTTACCATGTTTCTATAACATAATGAAGAAACACAGGCATTTCACAAGTTTCAAGTTTAAGTTGGAAATAAATCAGCCTTGATCTCCGTAATTTCCTCAGTTCTATAAGACATCCTGAATATCTGCTTCCAAACCTGGCTGATGATGATCCATTCCTGGATGGACCACACTAAAAACATTCTCAAAGATCAGCTTCATCGCTGATCAACCCTTAAAAAGTGGGTGGCTGATGGATGCAGAAGCTGATAACCAGCATGTCACAGAGAACTGCATGAGTTATGAGTCTTTGCATAAACGTGGTTGCCAATAAAATCTCTGAAATTTTGATCACTCTTTACAGAAACATGAAAAAAAGAGAAGTTTGACAAAGAATATTTGTTTAACGTTTCCCCTCAGAGCTAAATTGCCCTTTAAAAGTCTAACATCTACTTTGACCACTCAAGTGCAGCAGAAAACCAACTCAAAGGTCAAGTGATGACACTTTATTATTTAACTGCTCAGTTCTTCTATTTCTCACAGATACACATAAATGTGACCTTGCACCACTCTCTTGACTGAACCATTATCACCATGTTTTGTGAAAAGTCTGATTTTAGCTTCATCAGCAATGTTGAATTTAAGCAAGGACCCCGTTGTGTTCATCAGCTACGTGCTAACTTATTCTGCTGCGTGTTGTCGAGCTGCTAAAATCTGATGGCAGTTATTGAAAGGAGAGGTGATACGCTGTGGCGACCTCTAGAGAGGTTTGAAACCAAATTTTCCAAAAGTAAGAACAAAGAAATGAATCTGTGACTGTGAGACGAGCCGCAGTCATGATCAGGTATTTATTTGAAAAACAAAGTTTCAGCTTAAAAGTCTTCCAGTGAGTGTTAATGTTGTTGTTTTTTAAATTCACCTTTATTTAATTTGCATAACAGAAGCTTTACAAAAGAGTTTCACGTTATCTGCACGTTCTGTGTTTGTACCTGAGACATTTGGCAAAATAAAACATGGTGTGATTCTTTTTCTTGTGTAGGCCTTGCACATTTGGCACCTCATAACTGTGCAATCAGTAAGATTAGCAAACAAAACAAAAGAAAGAGGAAGTGAAAGTCTGAACCGACCAGTCAGGAAGCATACTCTGAAACCAAACTGTCAGGTCACAACACAAAACTGTTAGATCGTAACCAGATATAATCACATCTGGATATAACATTTATTTTTTTTATTTCTGGGTAAAGAAAATGTTTAAATATAAGCTTCTCTATGAGGTTGTTTTGACTTCAATAGCAGGAATTAAAAAAGGCTTCAGTTCAGCATATAGTAAATGACAATCATACCCAAAGAGCACCGTTATGCCCAGAGTGTGTGCACCGAATGCTGCTACATTACGACAACTGCAGAAAACACACAAAACAAGTCAAACTAAATGCAAAATATCCTGAATGTGCTCTGTGTAAGTGCACTTTCACAATACAGTTTGATGTTGGCTCAGAAACGAAACACGCGTGAAAAGATTTAAATATTTAAGCGCCTTTCAACTCTGGGAAATCTACAGACTGTAAGTAAAAGATGGACACAACCGCAGCTAAACTAAAGGAAAAGTAGGTGTGACAAAAACATTTCAGTTACTGTGGTAAACATTGAAACTAGAATTAAAAAAATACAATATTTTGTTCTTAAAAAAACAAAAATAAAATAAAACCTTGTTTAGTTTTAGTCTTGAGGAGCGTGAGGAGATACTGCTGCATGTGCTTGGTGCGGCTGGGACGTCCATGTGTTTTAATGCCTAATGTGAACTTCTTAAATCTGCACCTGAAAAACAGTCCTACAGACTAAAACTGATAAACGGATAAAAAATGAAACTAAAAACATGCAATAAAAACTAAACTGAGACGAGCAAACCCAGTCTGGAAACCACACTGATTAAAAAACAAAACATCAAAGTGAAATATAAATAAAAATCCATTAAAAATACAAAACGGTAGTAATGCTGAACCACGCTAACGACATCGACTGGTTCATGAGCTCCCGTTGTGAAGCCTCAAACTGAGTGTCACACCATAACTGTTATACCTCCTGACATTTAGGTTTCAAAATCCAGTTTCTTTCTTTAGTTAGCTAGCTAGTTTTATGTCTAAAGATGATCTAGTACTGATTTGTACAGATTTATATTTTTTAGGTTTTAAGGAGCACTGATTTAAACTCTTAAACTGGTGAGGGAGCCCTGTTTTCTTTAGAGTAAAAAGAGCTCAAGCAACAATGACAGATGAGCACAGATGAGCACAGCTGTGCACGCACCACATGATGTGTTGAAATGATGTGTACCGAATTTATAGTTATTCATAGTAATGGTTGTGCAAAGGACGGGAAACAGGAAAATGGGAGGCCTCGGAGGCCAATATCTCGTCAGTCACAGTAAAGCACAGCCTCCTTCTTAGCTTTAACAGGGGTCACGGCTAACTTGAAAATACTGACTCAGACCGTTAACTCATCGCGTGCACAGACGTCACCGGTGACAGGAGGTTTACAGATGTTTCCTGTGGACGTTCAGCCACCCTATTCCTTGTTCACTACACTCTGATGACCTCTGACAGCTGTTGTGCTTGTTCTTTTCACCACACTTGATAAAAAAAGTTTACATTGTATTTCATTTAGCCTTATTAAATTATATTTAGCTCTTAATTACGACAATTGACTTTTTACTTATTTCATATTCGCTGCGTTTCGGTTATATTTTATTTCTCTGCACTGATCTGTGAACTTTTTACATATATATTTTTCCATTGTTCCATCTTTTGGGATAATGACATCTCATTCCACCAGTGAAGTCTCCCCCTGCTGGTCATCAGAAAGAATGCAGGTTTAAGGCACTTGAGCTTCACTTTTCAAACCAGGAAATGGCGTCCATCTTTTAAATACAGTCTGTTGGGAAATCTAATGCATATGAAGTGTGAAAGGCCAGCAGTGGACTGCAGTAGTTTGGTTAGGCACAGGGTTATTACAGTATTTTTCTCCACTGCATTTCCCTATTCACTTTCTTAATACTCCCTTTTTTGGCTCTGATAACTTTGCGGCTTCGTCACAGCATCCCAAACCCTTTGGCATAAGTGATGGCCTTGAGAAGTCTCTCTCTCAGCTTTTCCTTGGAGGAGTACTCAGGGAGCAGCAGTGCATTAAAGCAGGTGTGGGAGGTTGGTAGCCTGCAAGAAAAATGGCAGAAGTGGGGAAATCTGAAATCAGCATCCACAGAGAGCTTTGAGTTATGGATCGTTTGAGTGTTTCTTAAATCTGGTCAGGGCAGCACCTGTCTGTGTCAGAGCCGTTCTTTGCAATGATCATTTTTAATTTGCCGAGCCCGCCAACAGGCGCCCTGTCTGAGCCCGTCGTGAACTGAAGAAACAATTTCTTTTGGTCTTCCCCAAATGAATGCACGACTTCCCAGAAATCTCTGTGGGTGGATAATTGAATAAAAACATTAAACTGATGAGAAAATGTGCATAAAGTTTAAGTACTTCCAAACATGTTTAGACTTTATCAGACTCACTTGATAACCTGACTGTCTTTGCTGTAGCCGCCGTCATATTCCGTCGTCTTTTCGAGCGCTTCAAAGTCCAGTTTCTGTGTAATGATCGGAGACTGTCATCAATGCAGCACCGAACACAATTAAGATATAAAAATATAAATGGGGATGCGCTCTCTCACCCTGCTTCCACAGATAAGCAGCTCTACTTCTTCTGGTCTAAACAAATATTTCAGCGGGGACTCATTTGTGACCATTAGGAAGCCTTTTTTGAAGGCTTTGAATTGTCTCTCCACACTCTTGTTCAGGATGTAATCAGCATACACATCCACAAACTCCTAAAAAAGGAAGGAAGTTAAATATATCTGAAGCAGTTTTTCATCATTAACTTTTTATAATCTGTATTTTTAGAGAGCCGACTCTACAGATTTCTCTGTTGAAGAATGCCGGCTGTATTGCATAACATACTAGTTCGTCTTCATCGTGTGTTCCTGTTTCCGTACTTGTGAAATATACATTTCAGTCAAAAGAGGAACAGCAGAAGTGTCAGTTAGGGCTCCCTTATTTATGTGGCGACACATTTGGTCAAAACTGCGTTGAGTCTAGAATCAGACTTCCATCTTAACATATTATATAGCCACAGAAATGTCTAATTTTTAGGTAAGCTTAAATATAAATGATGCATGATTTTAAAGGAACCGGAGATAAATTAAAAGAAGAGACCAAAAATCAGAACAAGATAATAAACCAGTGCCTCCCCTCTGACTGCCTCTGAATCAGCTGATTTTCTTCTATAATAACTTTACTTATTACATAAATGTTAATAGAATATCTAATGAAGCAATGCACAATGGCTGTGAGGCTGGTCACTGACCTCCTGCTAACCCTGGTCACCAGGGAAAAGTGTGTATTCCTTGACTGGCTGGCGAGTGGTTGCTGGAAGTTGCTGAAAACCTTGTGATTGCTTTGATCGCTGGGAGGTTTGTCCATAAGATGCTGGTTTGTCTGAAAATTCACCTACTCGCCAAGCGGTAGTGAAAAGTTCAACACAGACGTTCCTAACTTTTTGGGGTGTAAGGTTCAATATTTTCCATTTTAAATGAACTCAAAAGTCATCATATATTTTTAATCTAGTGGATTACGGTATACCACTCAATACACAAAATCTATTTGTTTGCACTAAAAGTTCTTCTGCACGATCCAGAGT